ATGTTGACTATCCAATAAAATTCTAAACTTTGTTAAATGACTTTGCAAAGCATCTTTTAATAGATTTCCCACAACTGATGAAAGACTAATGGTCCTATAATTATTGGGACAAATTTTTTTGCCTGCCTTGAAAAGAGGAGTGGCATTAACTAACTTCCAACCCTTTGACACCCATCCACTGTTCAAGGATGTAAAAAAAATAAGTAGTAAGTGGGGAAATATTATCTGGCTTAAGAGCTTTATCATTTTTTAAACTTCACATCTTGTTCGATCTTGTTTTCATCTATCAGTTGTTCAAGACGTGGAATACTGCTTAAATCTTCATTAGTAAAAACTGAAGAAAAAGCAGAATTTAATAACCCAGCCATTTCATAATCATCAGATACAAGCTTTCCTTTATCATCCCTCAACATTTTGTTTACCCTTAGTGTACTTAAAGAAATCCTTACTATTAATTTTTGCATTTTCATAAATCCTTTTTAATGTCCTAATTTCATGTTTTACCAACTTTCTTGATCTATGATCTTCTAAATCTCCTGTCATACCAGTCAGTTTAAATTTCTTAAAGTTATGAAGCTTTTCTTTAATTTCATCTCTTATACTCATTTTGAACCAACCTGGATTTTTACTTGCAGCTTCCATTTTCTTTCCATAAGGAATATATTTACCTTCAATATTTAAAATTTTATCTTTAAAAATTTTTCACATCTGATCAGTGTCTCCAAATGATTCAGCTGTCCAATTCACAAAAGAGAGTTCTTGTCTCATCCGTCCAAAATTTGCTTTTATGAAACTTGTAAGCAAAATATCATTACTTCTGATCTCCTTATGCAGCAAGTAATCAAACCTAATCGAGCAATGATCACTTGTACCCAGATGTTCCCCAGTTTCCACCCCCTCAACAATTTCTGTATTAGAAGTTAACAATAAATCTAAAATAGCATTGTTTCTAGTAGTTTCCTTGACCAATTGTTGAAAAAAGCCATCTTGAACATTTCCAAAAACCTTTCTCCATCACAGTTCGACTCTAGCATTTCCCAATTTATATGCCTTACATTAAAATCACCCATAATTATGACCTCATTAACGGCTGAAATCTTAATCTCACTGTAAAGTTTCTCACTAATTTCATCACTATCATCTGGTGGTCTGTAACAAATTCCCACTAAAAGTCTTTTCCATTTATATCCATTGATAGAAACCCAAATGGATTCATTCTCCTTGCTGTTATCCTTTATATCCTTAATTTCAACAGGATGTAACTCACATTTTACATATAAAGCCATCTCCTCCCCACCTTTAATACTCTATCCGATTAAATAACCTATAACCCTGTATCTCGAACAAATTTCTGTCATCAAAACCATTTGCATTTAACCATGTTTCAGTTATTCCCATCATATCAAAATCCTCCATTCCTAAAGTACACTAAAGAAATTTATTTTTTTCTTATACTTCAAACAGTACAATAGTAACAATTAAACCTACCCTTATAACTACTTTTATACTTATTTCCTATGCTCATTTCTCTACAAAAAGGAGTTTATTAGCCCTTCCAGCTCCCAATTATAACCACCCCATTACTACCCATTTATTCATCCACTCTTTTCTAGAACTCAGTTAAATTTCCTGCCTCATTCCAAAACTAACCACCCTGTTTGAAAAGTAATACTGTTTAAACTGCAGATGACTCCTACACTGCCAAAATTTGGATTTATGACACCTTGTCATATTGTTTTCATTGCTAAACACAAAAAAGTTTGGTTCTACATTATCAATACCCTTAATAATCTTAAACACTTCAATCAAATTCCCTCTGACTCTTCTCCTCTCCAGCAAAAACATGTTTAGATATTTTAGTCTCTCCTCATAGGACAATTCCAACATCCCATTTGTCATCCTAGTGGCTCTTCTCT